GGGTTTCCCACTCATGGTTTTCTAACAATATCCAAAGTGTAAGGGACAAAGAATTACGAATATCTTTTCTATATTTAATATGTTCTTTTCCTTTGTTGGAAAGAATAGCAATCCTGCCTCGCTTTGAGGTTTTAGTTGAGAGTACGTGGCTGACTTTTAAAATCTTGCCAGCATGGAAGACTGTTATTGAAGAGACCACATAAATGTCTATACAGCCCTTAATAGAATGGTTTTTATTAGGTCAGTCAGTGAATATCCATTTTGCCCTTTCTACTGCATTAGTATTGTCTGGAACTGCAAGTAGATTAAGATTGGCCTCTGCCTCTCAGAGGACAGCTACCATGAAAACAGTTCTAAGAATTAAGATTATAACCATTGGAAGGGGCTGGGGATTTAGCTCAGCAGCAAAGCGCCTGCCTAGCAAGCGCAAGGTCGTGAGTTCAATTCCTGGTGTTGGAAGAAAAGATAAAAAAAAAAAAAACCCTCAAGATTATAAGCACTGAAGAGGGAGCTAACCACTTAATCTTAGGGAGTCAAAGATATCTTCAGCAACAGGGTAAGATCTGATGGACAGAGAAAGGAAAGGTTAGCCAAGTGTCCAGAAAGAAAACAGTGCCTCGATGACCAGAAACATATTGGCCAGAACCATCAAGAATCTGCTTTACCCCAAAGATTGAGTTGAAAAAGTGGTCCCAAGAGGGAAGAGACAAGGGAGAAATTCAACCCTAACAAGGCCTCCTTTGCTATGCCACGGAGTTTGGATTCATACCAAAGACATCCTGGGACGTTCTTAATGTTCTCCTCTGGCTCCTGTCATCTTCCTGTGTCACCTCAGGTCACTCCTTCCATTACTCTATAGCTAACAGGGCCTTGGTAGAGACCCCAAGATATACAAGTGTGTTTTTCTGCAGATTTGTGTCCAAGGATGCGATACCTGAAAGCAGACTTTGGAGCAGAGAGAAACCATGCTAAGGTCCCCTCACCATATTACCCAAGGCAGCAAAGCAAGACATGCATAGGACTATGAGTATCACTCTGTAGAATAATAAGAAAACCGCCATAGGGATGTTTTGCCACCATATTTCAGATTATTTCAAGAAAGAGATGAGAAATAAGACCCACTCACAAAGTATCCAGGTGTCTAGTGGATGGATAACTCAATATGACCAAACAAAAAAATTTTTCTCCCTGTTCCCTAAAAGGGCTCTTTTTTCCATGTCCCCACCTGTAGTCGATTGATAACTGGTGGTCAACTTATAACCCCCAGCTGAACTGAGT